ACATGTCATGAATGCATTATGGGTCAGCGCGCCTTGTCTGCGCGCCTTCCCAGAGATCCCCGCCCCATCTTCTCTGTCCATTTTCTCCGTGGCCACACATGTCGCTGCCATTTTTGGGAAAATTGATTCGTGCATCCGAAGTTTGCTAATCTTCGGATTCGTCGCGAATAGAATTTTTCCAAATCTTCGGAACGAATTCCACTTCGTCATGTTCGATTCGCTCATCTCTAGTCCATACCATTATTCTTTCATCTTTATGGCCCTTTACTGGCTAGCCATGCAATGGAGTACATGCATGCAATGGAGCATTGTCCTGCATCAATATCATGGTTTTCTAGAAAGATGCATACTTTTTCCTGTACCATTGCTTGAAGAAAGTTTTTTCTAAAAACTGGCAGTAGGTTTGGGAGTTGATTTTGAGTCCATCTTCAACCCGAAAAGTTCCTACGAGATCATCTTTAATAATACCAGCCCATACCAGTACCCCACCTCCACCTTGCTGGCGTCTGAGTCAAAGTGGAGCCCTGTGCCCGTCACTGATCCAACCACAGGCCCATCCTTCTGGTCCATCAAGAGTTACTCTCTCTCATTAGTCCATAAAACCTTTGAAAAATCTGTCTTCAGATATTTCTTAGCCCAGTCTTCACGTTTCAACTTATGTCTTGTTCAGTGATGGTCGGGTTTCAGCCTACCTTACCTTGGCCATGTCTCTGAGCACTGAACACCTTGTACTTCTGGGCACTCCAGGTATGTTGCAGTTCTTGAATATGACAGCACTGGAAGATAATGGGTTCCTGGTATTTTCACGTTTGATTCTTCTCAAATTTTTGGCAGTTAATTTCATCTTTTTTTCTCAACACGTTTCTTGCAACCCTGTTGACTATTTGCAACAACACGTTTTATGGTTCTGTGATCATGCCACAACATCTTAGCAATTTCAAGAGTACTGCATTCCTCTGAAAGACATTTTACAATTTTTTACTTTTCACAGTCTGTTAAGTCTCTTTTTTTGGGTATTTTGCCTGAGGAAAAAAAGATGCCTAATAATTATGCACACCTTGATATAGGGTGTTGATCTCCTTAGACCACACCCTCCCTCATTACACAAATACACATCACCTGATATGCTTAAATGCAATAGGCATGCAAGTTTATACAGCTTGGAGTTGGACAATATGCTTAAAAATGATGATTTGGTGCACACAGTGTATTGCACCTGTTCTGTATTCTGTAATTTCCCCCCACAGGTGGATTTTTTTTAAAATAAATTCTTTATTTTCAAACTCCAGTAGAGCCAAGCAGATGGTTACATAAAAAGAAAACATCACAGACTGATATGCAAAACAGACATCTTCTATTCCAAGTATAGATAAAGCTCAAAGGTTCTGAGATATTCACACTTATTGGAATTCTGAGTATGGGCAGGATAATACAAACATGTCTTTTAATGAGATTTCTGCTCTAACTCTCAATATGTTTCGGTTCTCTGAGGAGGGGACAGGATTATTATATTATTATTATTATTATACAGTATTTATAAAGCGCCAATGGTTCGCTCAGCGCTGTACATTACAAAGGGGGACAGAACATGTGACAGAACAATACCAATACAATGCAAAACATGAGGGGATTGAGGGCCCTGCTCTTTCGAGTTTACAATCTAGGAGGGATAGGATAGGCAAAAGAAGAAGAGAGAAGAAAGAGAAAGAAAAAAGTGTAACTTTTACAGATTTCCCTTCAGTCTGTCACTTCATAGGGGTCCGGGTCCTTATAAAGGAACTACGGGGTCCAGATTTTAAAATGTTTTTCCGGTTTGCTCCCTGACGTCAGCCGTGTTATTCTATCAGCTGTCGCTCCAGCCATTGTGCAATAGTAGGTGGAGAGGAATTCTTCAACATGGCTGATATACATGCCTTAGCTGCGTTAAGCAGATGTTTTAGGAGAGTTTTTATAGTGCTTAATGGACATCAAGGTGACATGGAGTAAACATGCCGCCAGATCCTCCGCAAGAGACACATTCGTCACCTTATGTATTGCTGTGGGCACTGCAGTCTAAAACTCCTGAAGGTCAGGGCAGGACCAGAATATGTGGAGTAGAGTACCTTCCTCCTGATTGCATCTCCAGCAAAGAGAGGATATTCAGGGATCAATTTTATGTAGGAGTTGGGGAGTCCTGTACCATCGTGACACTATTTTATAGACATTCTTTTGGAATGTTTTAGCAATAGATGCCTTATGTGCAAATAGAAGTATCCTTTCTTTGTGGGGTTGGGAAGAAACTCTCCGTAGATCGCCCTCCCATTTCCACAAAAAGGTATGATCGCATTATTGTACATCTGAGATCAGCATTGATTAGGACAGGGCCAAAGTGTGGCACAGGGGGGCGCTATCCTGGCAAAGCTTTTCCAGAGGGGTGAGAGAGCAAAGAGCTTGGATAGGGTGGAATATCACCAGTATCTGTTTGCATCTAAAGAAATCTAGCTCTGATCCGTATACGGCCTGAAGTGCTACCTTGGAAGTCGGTTTGTTGTGGTCTGAGAAGTGAGTCACCCAAAAGAGACCACGGGTCACAAGAGTTTGGAGCTGAGAGTCAGTCTCATTGTGTTGGAATTGTGGGGTACCCATAATTGGTATAGGCAAGCTTGGGGCCGGTGACAAGCTAGAGTTTTTGAATAGCTTCTGAAGTATTGAGACGGTCGTTCCTATTAGCACAGGTGGCTTTCTAACACTTTTAACCACTTGCCGACTGCGCTATAGCCGAAGGACCAGTACAGCACGGTTGTCCAGTTTTGGGAGGGAGTCCATGGACGTCCTCCCAGAACACCACACCCGGGCCTGCTTTGTAACCGCTGTGTCCTTTGGACACAGCTGATCACAGATTGGGGTAAAGGGCCAATCACAGCGGCTCTTTGCCATGTGATCAGCTGTGTCCAATCACAGCTGATCACATGTAAACAGACTTGTGGGTTTTCGGCAGTCCTTTCCTTACATGCTGTGTCTGTGAGGAAAGGAAAATCGATAACAGACAAGGCTGGTCAGTACATGGTTTACATTGATTATTAGTGCAGCCCCATCAGTGCCGCTTAATCAGTGAAGCTTCATCAGGGCTTTGTCACCACTGATGTGTCCATCAGTGCAGCCCCACCAGTGCCCATCAGTGCAGCCTCATCAGTACACATCAGTACAGTCTATAAGTGGCCATCAGTGAAGAAGAAAAATTACTAATTTGAAAATTTGAAAAATGTTATAACCAAAACTAAGAAAACCGTGGGGGTTTTTCAAAATTTTTGGTCATTTTTTCATTGGTTTAGCAAAAAATTAAAAAAACAGTGGTAAATAAATACCATCAAAAGAAAGCTCTATCTGTCTCAAAACAAATATAAAAATTTCATATGGGTACAGTTTTGTATGACCGCGCAATTGTCATTCAAAGTACAACATCACTGAAAGCTGAATGTTGGCCTGAGCAGGAAGGGGGTGAATGTGCTCAGTATTGAAGTGGTTAAAATGTTTGTAAATCTCTGACATGAAATGTGAACAAAACATATCCCTCTGTACTGTGTACTTGTCTCAGTCCAGAGCACTGAGTGTCATTTTTGTTTGCTGCTTCATTCCTCTGCTATCAGCATGAATCACTTCTGATAAGTTTTCTGGACACCAAGAGAAAAACGACGACAGGTAGGGACCTCGAACACATGACCTGTGAGTGACAGCCTCAGCTTTGTTTCTGTGTGAAAGGGGGAGTGTACCTTCCCTTCAATCAGCTCTCAGAGCTTTCCTCACTGAGCTCTGCAGTGTGTAGTTTCAACTCTCTGCCCCCTGTTTTCTGAAAGCTCAGGCAAGCGTTATAAATTCTGGACTCTGCAGGGATGTAGAGAAGAGAGGACTTTAGATAAACAGGTACAACGTACATAGGAGGATTTGTTTCATCTCTATGTATCACCTGAGACCAGTCACTACACTGTGTATATGTAAGAGTTTACAACCACTTTAAACTGGCCATACACCAGTAGAATTTTGTTCAAACTTTTGTAGAAACTTTGAAAAATCATGAAAGCATTTGATCTTGCCATTGTTAAAGCGGAACTATACTCATCTCCAAACCTGCAATGCACTGTTCCGAAGTTCCCCTACCGGCTGTTGACATCATCGGGCTGCCGGGTCCCGAACGCCAGCCGCTGTCATTGGCCGGGCTAGGATGACATCACTCTGGTGCATGTGCGGAAGTTTCATCTAATTCGGCATTGCCAAATTTGTACAGTGAGCTGCGCCTGCAGGGGTGGACAGGCAGGTAGGTAGCTTGTATCTTCTCCATTAAAAATCCTGCCTGTTCACCCATTTTTATTTGGTACCCAAAGTCATCTAATTCTGTTTGAAAACCCTTAAATTTTCATCCAGACCTGCTACTTGAATGGAATCTCAAACATTAAATAGTTTTTTTGGTTTTTTTTGTGCCTAGAACATGTGCATTACAATATGTATTGCAATATTATTTCTTCTGAACGAAAAAATGCATTCGCAGTTAGAATTTCGTTAGTTCCAGTGAAAATTATCCATCTTGCTCCTTCAGATTTTTCTCATCATTGCGGTTAAAAACAAGCGTCAATTTCACCCCCTTAACCAATAGAAAAACAAACGAAAA